TATTTATTTTAATCAGAGGCTAATTACTTTCCAATATTGTAGTGGTTTTTGCCATACATCGACATGAATCAGTCATGGGTGTACATGTGTTCCCCATCCTGAACCCCCTCCCACCTCCCTCCCCATCCTATCCCTCTGGGTCATCCCAGTGCACCAGCCCTGAGCACCCTGTCTCATGCATCAAACCTGGACTGGCAATCTATTTCACATATGATAATATACATGTTTCAGTGCTATTCTCTCACATCATCCCACCCTCGCCTTCTCCCACAGAGTCCAAAAGCCTGTTCTTTACATCTGTGTCTCTTTTGCTGTCTCACATATAGGGTCATCATTATCATCTTTCTAAATTCCATATATGTGCGCTAATATACTGTATTGGTGTTTTTCTTTGTGGCTTACTTCGCTCTGTATAATAGGCTCCAGTTTCACTCACCTCATTAGAACTGATTCAAATGCGTCCTTTTTAATAGCTGAGTAATATTCCATGGTGTATATGTACCACAGCTTCCTCATCCATTCATCTGCTGACGGGCATCTAGGTTGCTTCCACGTCCTGGCTATTATAAACAGTGCTGTGATGAACATTGGGGTGCACGTGTCTCTTTCAGATCTGGTTTCCTCAGTGTGTACGCCCAGCCCAGCAGCGGGATTGCTGGGTCATATGGCAGTTCTATTTCCAGTTTTTTAAGGAATCTCCACACTGTTCTCCATAGTGGCTGTCCTAGTTTGCATTCCCACCAACAGTGTAAGAGGGTTCCCCTTCCTCCACACCCTCTCCAGCATTTATTGTTTGTAGATTTTTTGACAGCAGCCATTTTGGCTGGCAGGAGATGGTACCTCATTGTGGTTTTGATTTGCATTTCTCTGATAATGAGTGATGTTGAGCATCTTTTCATGTGTTTGTTAGCCATCTGTATTAAGAGATTGTCTTTTCTCCATTGTATATTCTTGCCTCCTTTGTCAAAGATAAGGTGTCCATAGGTGTGTGGATTTATCTCTGGGCTTTCTATTTTGTTCCATTGATCTATATTTCTGTCTTTGTGCCAATACCATACTGTCTTGATGACTGCGGCTTTGTAGTAGAGTCTGAAGTCAGGCAGGTTGATTCCTCCAGTTCCATTCTTCTTTCTCAAGGTTGCTTTGGCTAGTCGAGGTTTTTTGTATTTCCATACAAATCATGAAATTATTTGTTCTAGTTCTCGGAAAAATACCATTGGTAGCTTGATAGGAATTGCATTGAATCTATAGATTGCTTTGCGTAGCATACTCATTTTCACTATATTGAGTCTTCCGATCCATGAATATGGTATATTTCTCCATCTATTTGTGTCCTCTTTGATTTCTTTCATCAGTGTCTTATAGTTTTCTATATACAGGTCTTTAGTTTCTTTAGATAGATTTACTCCTAAATATTTTATTCTTTTCATTGCAATGGTGAATGGAATTGTTTCCTTAATTTCTCTGTTTTCTCATTGTTAGTATATAGGAATGCAAGGGATTTCTATGTGTTAATTTTATATCCTGCAACTTTACTATATTCATTGATTAGGTCTAGTAATTTTCTGGTGGTGTCTTTAGGGTTTTCTATGTAGAGGATCATGTCATCTACAAACAGAGTTTTACTTCTTCTTTTCCAATCTGGATTCCTTTTATTTCTTTTTCTGCTCTGATCGCTGTGGCCAAAACTTCCAAAACTATGTTGAATAGTAGAGGTGAGAGTGAGCACCCTTGTCTTGTTCCTGACTTTAGAGAAAATGCTTTCAATTTTTCACCACTGAGGATAATGTTTGCTGTGGGATTATCATACATGGCTTTTATTATGTTGAGGTACGTTCCTTCTATGCCTGCTTTCTGGAGGGTTTTATCATAAATGGATGTTGAATTTTGTCAAAGGCTTTCTTTGTATCTATTGAGAAAATCATATGGTTTTTATCTTTCAATTTGTTAATGTGGTGTGTCACACTGATTGATCTGCAAATACTGACGCTCGGCGAGCACACTGTCGCAGGTGGTCTGTGCGTCTTCTCACCTCCCCTGTCCCAGCCTCTTAGTCTCCAGGGTACAGCATGAGAGCGCTGGTCTAGGGTGCTGTGTGTGTTTTCTGGGGAGCTGATCTCTGGCTGCGACCCTCCTGGCAGATGTCAGCCGTCCAGGATCCTAGGAAGACCTGGTTAGCAACTGGGAGCCTGCGCACAGTTGGTGGAGGATGCCGAGGATGCCGTCTCTGGGGCCGAGATTGCCCCCCGCCTTCCGGCTCTGGCTGCCGCCCGCCTGCCTCCCTGCCTCCGCGGGGGATGGGCCAGTCCGCAGCCGGCTAGCTCTCTGTATTCGCTCAGTCCTTTGTTCTGTGAGCAGGTCAGGCTGTGCCTTAGGCTAGAGCTTTTTGTCTGAAAGTTCTCTCTCTTTTTTTCTCTCTGGCTATCCCACAGTTTGGGTTGCTATCTCACATTAGCTCCCTCAGACTGTCCTCAGGGCATTCAGGCCCAGTTCTCACCCTAAGTAATGCTACCTGCACCCTGTTCGGCCCCTGCTCGCTGATGGCGGACGCAGGCGTCTGGGCTACTTTTCCGCTGGGAGTTGCGGTTAGGCACGTATACTGTGGGTTTTGTTTTTTTTTCCTCCCAGTTATGTTGCCCTCTGAGATTCCAAAGCTCCCCCACAGACCCAACGGTGAGAGGGTTTCCTGGTGTTTGGAAACTTCTCCTCCTTCACGACTCCCTCCCCAGGACAGATCTTCATCCCTAACTCTTTTGTCTCTCTTTTTGTCTTTTATATTTTGTCCTACCTCCTTTTGATGAGAATGGGCTGCCTTTCTGGGTGCCTGGTGTCCTCCGCCAGTGTTCAGAAGTTGTTTTGTGGAAGTTGCTCAGCATTCAAATGATCTTTTGATGAATTTATGGGGGAGAAAGTGGTCTCCCTGTCCTATTACTGTGCCATCTTAGGACCGCCTCTCCAACATTATTTTTAAACTCATTATTTTTAAGCATTTGGCCAAATATATTAGAAAGGATCATCAAAACCATAGTACACAGTCATTTCAAAAGGCAAAAACCATAAAACAAATTATAGACCACAAGGGATCTTAATTTTGATAAAAAAAATCTGCTTGCTAAAAAAGTAATAGCTGCGTACATTTACTCAAAATCTTCACCACCTCTGAGTTTAACAAAGTAATAGAAACATTTTTTAGAGCCTTTAGTATGCTCTGGGCACTATTCTAAGAGATTTACACATATTACCTTGTTTAATTCCCAAAACAACTCTGTAAGGTAAAGAGAATTATCCTCCTCAATTTATAGATGAAAAACTGAAGCACAGAGGGTAAGTAATTCACTCAAGGCTGTATTACTAGTAAATGATGGAGTTATTTAATTAACTTGAAACCTTACACAGATTATTGAAGAATGATTACATTTACATAGCAGGCCAAGGGAAATACCTTTAAGACTATACAGATATGTGCACATTAACCATGTTTTATAAGCATTAATTTTGTGCACATGGGTCTTGAGCCAAAGCTACTCACAGATCCGCTTGCTAGTAGTTTGCCTCACACTGAATCTTACTTGGGAAAAAATCTTGGTTAACCACAACAAAAAAGATAGAGCGACTATTTGTTTTATATAATTATTTGTCATCTTACAATGTAATTCATTTGAGGTGCCTTTAGGTAACAAGCTGCCAGATGTCACATGGTGTGCATGTATCAACAGTGTAGCTTTCTTTTTGATAGACCTGCTTTACCTGAATCAACTATATCGCTAAAATCACATAAAGACTGAATTACCTACATGCTTTAAAAGCAACATATATATTACACAGGGAGAAGCACACCTATCCGTATATGAAAAGTTGAACAAGGCATAATAAAATTTTAGGGTCTCTGAACTTGGCATAAGATTTTAGGGTTTTGAAATCAACTGTGTAAGGGTTATGATTTCTCAGGACATGAAGACCCAAGGAGAACTTTTCTTTAAATATTCACAATTAAAAAAAAAAAAGACTATGCCATATATATAATTACATTCTTATGTATATTTATCTGGTCAGTCCAAATAGTTTTGAGCATTTTTTTTTTTTTTGGTTATCTTAAATTAGTATATGAGTTAATGAAAATATCAATACTTTTGCTGTTCCATCAGTATGTTCAAATTTAAACTACCTGACATTACATATGGAAATTCTGCCTTAAGCAGTATTTTCTGCTGGTCTGTTATGTATAATCAAGGTATGCTATCTCACTGTAGTTACAGTTAAAATAAAAGGGGAAATGGAAACTTTCTGGTGGTCCAGTAGTTAGGACTCCAGGCTTCCACTACAGGGGGCACAGGTTCAATCCCAGATTGGGAAAATAAGATTCCTCATCCTAGGAGAGGTAAGAAGGGATGGTTCTGAGATGCTCATACTTGCTAGCTATTCTTCCTTTTAGCATATATTAGCTGTGGTGTCTTTTGCTGGCATATACAAGTGACATGGCTATAATGCATGTCTAGCAACTAGAAATGAGAGTAATTTTCATGTGTGGCTAATAAAAATCACTCTCATTACTGTGAGGTCCCACATACAATGCTTTTCCACAACATTTAGCTCATCAGCTTACGTGGACCACAGGAGATATGAACTGGAAACAGAGATTAGCAATGAATTATTTGTAGGTGAAAGCTCTGTAAAAGAATCAATCCTCAGCCTAAATTAGTCTGCATATTCCCAGGACTCACTATGTTTTTGTAGGAGTGTATGTATATAGGGGGCATTTAATAAATGTTCAGTTGCTAAAAAGAACTATATAGATGTCTGTTTGGTATTTAATTTTCTACTTCCTGAAAGTGTAAGGAAATAAATCACTTTCATCTGGAATACGTACTTGAATCAAAATAAGAGCTGACTGAAGTGAACAAACTGATTCAGTGTTTTTAAATAGAAAGATCCAGAAAAAGGTGACATATATATAAAGAAGCCATTTATAAAGATGACACATTTATTATAAGTTTCCTTACCTTGCAAACAGAAAGGACATTAACATTGATCAGTTTCTTGATGGTCTGCAAAAGAAATATTGGTCATTTTATATAGATTTGATCATGGAAGCGACCATATTATATATAAGATAGATAGGTAGAGATACATAAATAATCCAGAGATGCACTGAAAGTTTCCCCAGATACAGTACAGACCTTGGAAACTGATAGGATTTGGGGTAAACAGGCAGATTATATTTTACTCTCAGTATTATAGTACTTTTCAACTAAATGCAGCAATTCATATTAATATACAAAATCCGAAGTATACATACAAGTAAAATCTGCAAGCAAAAAAACCACACTAAACCTAAAATAAATATGCAATTTCCTCTCTGCTAATATGGAAAGAAGAAACTATTGAATCTAAGATTTTCAACAATTTTTAAAAATTTACATATTCTTTCAATAATATGTTTTCTAGTTATCACTAAAGAATTAGACATGCATCAAATATATAGCTTTCATTTTGGTAGAGCTAGTTTACCTGAATCCACCATATTGGTGTATATTATTAACACAATTATGGTTTTTAAATTGGTGTTTAGAATCCTGATACCTAAACAGAGCTGCTTTGATGTAATAAAAATGATAATAATAAAACTGGAGCTATTATTGAACCTAGCATTGTGCAGATGAGATGATAAATATTTTCTCATTCAATCCTTCTAACATTTCTGTAAAGCTGCCTATATTATAGACAAGGGAACGGAGACTAAGGATGGTTGGGTCATTCCCTGGGGAACTCAGGTAGTGAGTAGAAGGACCAGGGCGTAAATCTCGGCTGTTAGATGGACTCCAGCACTCAGTCTCAATATTATACCATATTGCCTCACCCATGCCTGCACACATTCTTTCTATGACCACAATCCACAAAAAACAACTTACACTGTCCAAGTCAGGAACATCCAAAAAGTATTCCGGATACTCATATGCCATTCCCACATTATTCACTGAAATAAAACAAGATCATTAGCTAGCTAGTATACATTTTGTAGATTTGACATGAAGAGATTAAAAATGATGAGACTGAGATGATACATACAATTACATTAAATGTTTATATCTTGAGTGCTCTCTCTATCCATAATCTACCCATATGGACAGTTCAAATGTCTCCTCTTTCACTAAGCCTTTCTGTATCCAACCCCTGGCAGAAGGACTTTTTCTTGGCCTCCCAATTTCCATAGCCCCTCGGAGTATGTGTGCATTCCGCCTCCATAATACATCTGTAGATATTGCTTAACCTCTCTCTCCGTGTGTGTGCTCCGTCATGTCTGACTCTCTGTGACCTCATGGACAATAGCCCACAGGCTCCTTTGTCCATGGGATCATCCTGGCAGGAATCCTGGAGTGAGTTGCCATTTCCTCCTCCAGGGGATCTTCCTGACCTGGGGATCAAACCTGCATCTCCCACAGATTCTACATTGGCAGGCAGATTCTTTACATCTGAGCCACCTGGGAAGCCCAATCTCTCTTTAGATCTTCAATTTGCAGAGTACAGTAGAAAGAGCGGAGGATACAGTTATATAGGAGACCAAAAACTTGAGTTCTACTTGCAACTGTTTCAGAAAATATGTGACTTGGTCACACATGATATGCATCTCAGTGTCTTTACCTCTTAAATGAGAGCGTGTTTTAATCATTCAACAAAAATTTGCCATTCACTTGTGTGCAAGACATGTGTGACGAACCAGAAAAACCATAAAGAATAGTTTGCATAATGGAGCAAACTATCCAGTAGAAAGAGAAAAAAAGACTAAACAAAAAGAATTAAACAATTATTTCATTACAAAGTACAGAGTGCTGTGGGGCCTGTCCCAGACCTCATCTGGGAGGTGAGGGAGGGTTTGACGTTCACAGAGGTTAAATAACTTGTGCAAGGTCATAGAGCAAAGTAAGGCTAGGATTCAAACTGAGAATATTTAACTTCAGAGGTGTCTTAACCACTACTTAAAGCCATCCTATGACTTCACTCCTTATTCATCTCAGAGAAAAAAAATGTCAGTAATAATTGGATAATAAACAGAAATCTGATAGCAATGTTTAATAAAACTGTAAGGTATCAGAAAATAAAGGTTTCAGTATCAAAAAGATAATGAAATTCTGATCATTCTGTTCAAGCTTATAAGGAATTATGCCAGATAAACCTGATAGTAGTTAACAGTAACTTTTTCAACAGACTAACAAAATTAGTGGCTCAAAGGAACTCAATAAAGGTTCTATATTTAGCAGTAAGCCAGTCACTTCTGGCTGTGAGTCTCAAGATTTTACTGGTACAGTTCGGTCAGGATGGCTTGAACAAGATCACTGAAACCTGTCTGAAAAATCTGTAAGCAAAGGACAGTAGCAAAGCAAACTGTATTTAATTAAGATTCATGACCATTTGAATAGGAATTGGTATCTAAACAGAAAAATAATAGCAGGTTCAAATCCATTTTTATTTTAATCAAAATGTTCTCCACCCACCAGGGGTTCTAGGAATCAATTCTTTAAAGATCATCAAAACTAGTTGAAGGTGCGGTTTGTGTTCATTCGACTTTGCCTTAGCCATCTAAAGGTTATAAAGGATGAATGACTTATTTACAGAGAAATAGCAACAACCAAAACATCTGTTAAAATGTTAAACTATTCTTTAGAAAGTCAGTGTATGATTTCACGAGTCCTCAAGGAAAGGTTTTTGCCGAATTGTAATGTTCTTCGGGAAAGAAGATTTCATCACTTACTGTGAACTCCATCTCTCTTCACTCTCTTGTATCTAGAAAACTTCCTAGCTGTAGGTCTCTGGATCTAGAATCTAGATCTAGATTCGAGGTCTCTTTCTAGCCCATGGAAATACTAATGCTCCTTTTCAAAATGCTGAAGGAAATTGAACAGTGTTACTATAAATCTTTTACAGTCCGGACTTGGATTTAGAAGGAAAAAAAAACCAGGAACATTGTAAGCAGCACTGTTAACTCTGCCATCTTGGCAACTGTGTTACAAGGGCCAAAGTCAAGCTAAGGATGCCCATACATAACTAATCAAGCAAGGAAGTGATACTCTGGGTAAGGTTGTATCTACAACACAAAGCCTTCAGATCTGTCTCTGCTAATTGAGCAAAGCAAAGACATCACAGCTATCTACTCACATGGTGAAAATGTGACCATCTATTTAACACAATTCTAAAAGAAAACAGTCAACGCTGAGAACTTTAGTCTGAAGAAACAAATGGTATTATGTATAAGGGCTATGCTTTTATAATCAAAAATAAACACAGGAAAAAAAGGTGTTAAAACTGGAACAGATCTTACAGAGCACTGAGCCTGACTTTATGAGGGGAAATACATGCCAAGGTCACACGGGCAAGTGGTCCATTACTCTTAAATCTCTTGCTATTTTATTAGTCAGACCTTTCGCTGGTGGAAGATATGCTACCTGCATTCTCTCCACAGTAAGTAATCACCTCAGAGTGCTATTATTTAAGAGTTCAAGAAAAACAACTGTTGCTCTCAAAAGTTATTTCTGTAAACTTGCACAACGGTGAGAATCTTTTGGAAAAAGTAAACTCATTGCAATTTTATCTTCAGACATTAGGTGGCAGCAACAACCAAACAGCAGGCGGAAAAGGCAACCAAACAGCAGGGACTTGGAAAAGGAAGAAAACAGGCTTTGGGTAGGAGGGAAGGGTGGAAATGTTTCCCTTATAATTTAATCTCATTAAGAATGGGTACATGCAATACCATCTTCTTATATTACAGGATTCATTACAGGATTCGCCAAACCAAACAATGCCACAAGTTGTTCCAACATCATTCGATAATTGAAAATCCCTTTTAAACGGCAGCGTTTTAAATTGGCATTAATATCTGTTCATTAGTGAGTTTCCTTGAATTCTTCAAGTCAGGCACCAGAGGCAGATTGAACATTTTTGTTCAATGACCTGAAAAACCCTTTTAACCCATGTAACACACCATGTCTTTCAGAAAATGAGGTGTTATATGTACATGTAAGCTCAGACTTCCAAGCACTACCCCAACAATCATCACAGGACCATGAACAGATAGAAACTCTTTCCCATCGATTTCTCAGTGGAGTTCTAAGATTGGGAAGAGCTCAACGGAAGAGATGAGGCAGACAAAGAACAGAGGTGAAGACAGACCAAGAACAAGGATGAGGTAAGTGGAGAGAGAAGGAGGCGGCGGATCCTTGCAGAGAGGAGCTGTGTGCGCCATGCTCAACACTGTCTGCCACGTCTGCCATCCAGGACTTTCAAAAACACCGAAACCGAAAAATCATATTTTAAAGACTCGGCGAATCCACAGAGTATTTCTGAATGTTATAGAAATATTCTAAATTACACCATGCTGCTGTTTAAAAATCATTTCCACCTCTCGTACTTTTAAAAAACAATGAGAACATACACAAGATTTGTTTCTTCTGAATTCATTTGTTGCTGCTTCTACCCTTACTGGACTTAGAATCCTTTATCAAAACCAGCTGCTGTAGAGATAATGATGTCATTAGGAAATTCGATTTCTGGCATCTGGGTTGGGCATGAGGGAGGAGCAAATGACAATAAATTGCTAGAGAATAAAAGTCCATGTGAACGAACACAATAATAACAGATATGGGTAACCACACACAGACCACCTTCAACCTGCTGCCTCTTCCAGATTAATCATATGTAAGACATTAAGGCAGCTTAAAAACACACTGCCTAATGATGGGGCTTCCTAATACATAACAAATAATGCAGTCTTCTCTATTTCTCTCTCATCACATCAAAGTAGAAAACATGATACTAAGTTTACATTTTGGTCACATTTGTAGTTGGATACACTAATGCAGTTCATTCATAAAAAGATGAATTTTAAAAAATGCTGCCACCTCATTTTATTGCAAAAGATACTGAATTTTTAAAAAATGTAGACCCAAGTAACACCATGAGTGGAGAGAAACTTCTCTTATTTAAAGCTTTCGAACCAGGAGGGGCTGGATCTCAGAGGCCAACAGACCCAGATTTCAGTCTCCACTACTAGGTCCTAATGAGATGCAGGTGATTTCATTCCAGTAAGCCTCAGTTTCCTCATCACCTTTATATATAAAATAGGCATAACAATTTAAGCATTAAATGGGTTAATACACATAAAAATGTTTAACCCAATGCCTGGAACATACTCTGTCCATGGAATTCTCCAGGTTACCCACCCATACTAGAGTGCGTAGCCACTCCCTTCTCCAGGAGATGTTCCCGACCCAGGGATCAAACCCAGCTCTCCTGCATTGCAGGCAGATTCTTTACTATCTGAGCCACCCAGCTCTCCTGCACTGCAAGCAGATTCTTTACCATCTGAGCCCCCAGAGAATCCCAAGTGAGACCCCTCAAAGCTGTGGCAGTGGCGGGCTTCCCTGGTAACTTTCCTGGTGGCTCAGACGGTAAAGAATTTGCCCGCAATGCAGGAGACCTGGGTTGGATCCCTGGGTCGGGAAGATCCCCTGGAGGAGGGCATGGCAACCCACTCTAGTATTCTTGCCTGGGGAATTCCATGGACAGAGGAGCCTGGCAGCCTACAGTCCACGGGGCCTCAAGAGTTGGATACAACGCTTGTATGAGCGACTAACACTTAGAATATACTGGTCTGTTAAAAACTGAGGAGAAAGTTGTTATTGCTGTGTGGTCACTTATTCACTTTTTTTAAATTTTTCCATGTATTTTTATTAGTTGGAGGCTAATAACTTTACAATATTGTAGTGGTTTTTGCCATACATTGACATGAATCAGCCATGGATTTGCATGTGTTCCCCATCCCGATCCCCCCTCCCACCTCCCTCCTCATCCCATCCCTCTGGGTCTTCCCAGTGCACCAGCCCTGAGCACTTGTCTCTTGCATCCAAAGTGGGCTGGTGATCTGTTTCACCCTTGAAAGTATACTTGTTTCAATGCTGTTCTCTCTGAACATCCCACCCTCGG